TATGTTTCACTCTATATGCATCTGAAGAAGTGGGTTGTAGCCCACGAAAGCTTATGCTCTAATAAATTTGTTAGTCTCTAAGGTGCCACAAGTACTCCTGTTCTTTATAATAGTTTTCTCATTGTACCGACTAACAGACTCACCTGTTACCGTGAGACAGCATCTCTGCCACCTGCTATCATCTTCAATAAGTAAGATAGCTCACTCTTTATATTACACTAGTATTGCTCAGGGCTTGTCTACACTTGAAATGCTACAGCAGCACAGCTGCGCCACTGTAGTACTTCAATGAAGACACTCACAACTGCAACAGGAGGGATTCTCCCATCAGCATAGTTAATTAAGCTCCCTGAGAGGTGGTAGCTAGGTGGATGAAAGAATTCTTCCATCCACCTACAGCTGTCTACACCAGCGGTTAGGTCCACTTAACTACATCACTCAGGGTACTACGAGTGCAGTAGCTTGGTCAATTTAACTTTTGACCGTAGACCTGACCTCAGACTGACTAGCATGACTGAAATTAGACCAATGTAATGCCTTCCCATGGAGCAAACCCTCCTTGATTAAGCACCTGATTCTGCTCCACTGAAGTCAATGGAACTTCTTCCATGAACTTCAGTGGCAGCAGTATTAGTCCTCATAAGCATATAGCATGTGACAAAGAAGTAATCAAATCCATTAAGATCTTCTCCCTCATAAAAAAAATAATTTGTATGGGAAAACTGGCTTTTGTAAGGAAGAAATAAAACACAATAGAGCTGAACGATAAAGAGATTTATCAGACACTTTGAGTAGGCCATGCTATACCGTTCGTTTGTTTATTAGACTGAACTGATCACTTCTGATATGTCAACTAATTTTGCAGTCGGTGTTCCCCATCACTTTCATATACACTACCCAACTTTTAAAATCTTCCCCACCCAAAAAAACATAGTTACTACCTTTGAATTAAAACCCAAAGATTTGAAAGACCAGTAGACTAAGAGAATGAGCTACTGATCTTTGCTTTCTCACAAAGCAAGTTACATATATGAGCCAAATACATGAGAGGTCATACACTTTTTCATATTTTCTTCCTTGCTTAGGAACTGAATCTATATTATAGTTAAATAGTTCCATATAAAGTTCAATTTAGCCATCAGGAATACCACACAGACACCTAGAAAATTAACTTTGCTATATACAGTAATACACATTATAGCAAACAAATGACAAATATCCTTCAAACGCAGCATACCTCAGAGTCCTATAAATTGGCAGCTAATATGCATTGTTAAAAGCCATTAGAATTTAAAGGCTGATATTTTCAAAGGAATTTGGATGTCAGATTCCCATCAAAATCTGTATGTACTCCCCTTTGAAACCATCTGAAGTTTTGAGCAAGTTTCAGAGATTCCCCCAAATGCAAGAAAATCTACAAGATATCTGGCAATAGTCTCGCTAATTTTTTTTTTTTAAGCTAAGCAAATGTTTTTAACGGGATTGTTAATAATAAGTGCAGTGAAATTAATTAGGAGGCAAAGCATCACTAGGTATTATGGTTGCTTGTTAGCTGAGGTTATAGCAGGTGCTAACGTTTGGAAAGGATCTGGCTCACAAAGCAAGCTTGCACTTTTAAAGTTAGTAGGTGGATAACCTCCAACCTCCCTTTTCCCACAACAGATTAGTTTAGGGTGATAATGAAGGGGCAAGGGTACTGTACCTGGTGATGGGCAGGTCGAGGCCCCGCTGCAAACTGAGGAAAGGCGGGAGAAACAAACACAAAAGGAAAGGCACAAAGAGTCAGAAAGCCCACAACAAAAAATGAAATGTCATACTACATGCAAAATAAACCCACAAGAAAAAACATAAAAAGTCAAAGCTTTGCTGAAGGACAGTGACAGACAGGTACTACAATGTAACAGGTTAACATCACTCCAGTGATAGTGTGCTGCCCAAGAGCTGGGAGAGAGAGAGAGAGAGACAACCAAAGCTGCTAGTCATCTTAAAGGCATTCTACTATATGAATACAGAAATTCTTAATACAGTTAAAAAGGTTAAATATTATGTGTTTTAGACAAGTGGATATCCTTAAAGTGGTTTGACTGACTCAAGTTTTTGGAGAGTGGAGGACACCTCTGCTTACAACACTGCAATTAACAGCCAGGTAAGCACTTCTAGTGTCCTGCACACTACAGGGAATGCATGAAAATCTCTGTGAGGCAAACAAGACTAAAACAATAATTTGTACATATATAGTGCATTTCATCTTCAAAGTATTTACAGACATTAGCCATATAATCCTACCCCACTATGTGGTGGTAAGTATTGTTATCCCAATTTTATAAATGGGGAAACTGAAGCAAATCGGTTAACCCATGATTTGTCCAGGAAAACAGAGTATGCCAATGGCAGAGCCTGGACAGAACTCATGAGTTCCTGTTTCCCAGTTCTGCGCTCATATCATTAAATCATTTCCCACCCTCTCACATTACAATGGGGGAAAGGATTCAGCATTTAACACACTCAATGAACATTTAGAACATTATCTGATAATTAGCTGTTAAAATAAAAATAAAAATGAATGCCAGGCATGGAAAAATATAAATAAAAATGAAAGGGTATCTCTTAGAAGAAATCAAGTTAAGCATTTAAGCCCTTAATTCTCAGTGTGTTAACTGAACTCCAGTCTTTCCTCGAATGATATCTGGTAATCTATTAATAACAGCTCAAATAATTAAACAGAGTACATTAAATTAGATCCCACATTGAGTTTTTATGCACAGCAGCAAAACACTGTGTGTGCACTTCTCCCTGTTGCTAGCTGTGCCTGCCAGTAACGTAAGACAGGTACGGAAGCAAGCAAAGCAGTACAGCTCTGCTAATTCATGGTACTTGTGCAGAGACTGATTTAATACATATTACTTTCTTCTCATGTGCTACCACATGTTCTAAAATGGGAATTTAACAAAGAACAATAAGGGCAGAAAAGTACACCTATCAGTGAAGTTTGTACATTTCATATACAAACTGCAGGGATAGTTAAAATATTCTAAATAGGTGACAAAGGCTGGTTTCAAGTTACTGAGTTTTTATTTCACCCAAATAGAAAAAGTAATAAATAAATAAATAAAAATAAGCAAATGGGATAAGGCTGGCTTACAGACCCATTTCACTGCTTCTTAATGTTCCTAACACCACCAAATATGACAGAAGCAAAACAAGCATTCACCACTGATAGAATTGATTTTCCTTTCCCCTTTAGAAACATTTTTAAAAATTGCCTGTATTTAATACTTCCAAGCAGCAGTCTATAAATACTATAGTTTATTCTACAGCGTTTATATATTCCTCCTACCTTCATCTCATCATTACAGTTGGATGCAGAATAATCAAAATCTTCAGGAAGAAGAAATGCACACAGTCTTTTTCTACCATAAGAGTGTCTAAAGTATAATCTATAGTACCAATTCACAAATCATATACAACTTTATTTCTTTTCCACCCTAAACTGTCCCGTGTGACATTTCCACTAAACCTCAGATTTTAAAACACAAGAAGATGTCAATTCATTAGACTAAAAAATTAAAATGTCAGCTTTAATAGTTTTGGCAATTTGTTATGTGACATACTAAAGAGACACTTGGTACACACAGTTTTTAATCCCTCTCCGAAACCTTTAGGTATATTGGAGGGTGGTGGCTTTATTGATCCTTGCAGTAGTAAATGGAGACCATGATGATTCTAAGGAGATGATGTGCAGATTACAATTCAAATCAGATTTTTCACAGGAGGAATCCCAAAACCAGAGTACGGGTTTCATTTCTTGTGTCTCACATCTGAGAAAACAGGATAGCACTTCCCCTGACAAGGACAAGGCACCAACATAAACATTTCCTGATGGACTACAGGCTCTATTTTATCTGCTAATGAAAGCGGAAAAAGCAATTTGCTTCAAAATCCCTACAAAGAGGTGCAAAAACCAGTGTTGATTAACCTGAGAGCAGAAGTACCTGTCTTATCACTGTTCCATGGAAAATTCTAACTTTTAATCGGCTCTGAAATAAGAGTGGGAAAGTTACATCTTAAGAATACTTAAGCCAAAATATATTCCATGATTAAAAAGTAATACATGTTATAAGAAAAAAATAAAATAAAACCTCAAAGTTAGTGGAAAAGTACCCTAGTCTATTTTGCACTGGTCACCATTGGCTATTGATTTTTATAATTCTTGTTGACAATATTCTTTACTCCTATTGGTAGCTGTAAGCAACAGAACAAACTGTAGTCACTGCTGGCTCAGAGTAAAAATAGAAACTTTGTTTTTCCTTTAGATGGTGAAGGTAGTAGATACAGAGGAAAACAGCCTTCTGTGAAACCTGGGTCCAACATTTCTGCCACTCACGCCCTTATTGGTCTCACTCACAAACCCTTTTGCACACTGCTGGCAACTTCTACATATGTTGATGTAGATTTTGCACACTGCATGAATATAACCACTTTTTATAGGTTATTACAATAGCCACTACAGTCCTGTCTCCCAGATTATGTTTTGCAGCAGTTTCTCTACATCAGACAGATTGCTTTAAAATAAACTAGTGTTTAGGGTTCGGATTGACAACAGGAAATGGAAGTAAAGCAGTAATTATACTTGGGCTGAACAGTATTTAAAACTTTTCCCCCCAACTGGAACTGAAGTTTGAAATTCTTGGTATCAAATACAAATGACACTCCAAAAACTAAATGGGAAAATATTTGAAGCCACTTGAATTGCAAAGGCAGCTGTCCAGGGAAGAATAGAAATGCCTAGACTGTGCAATTGCCAATGGCCCTATAATGCAGAAATAGAATGGAGTAAGCTTAGACTGCTCTAGAATGCAGTGTTAGGGTCACTTCATCAGTGCAACAGCTTACCTATCCTCACCACCTGGGTCAGCTGTGTGATGGATTGGACTACACTAGAGAACCCCAGGATGGCAAAGGAATTATCATGCCATCTTCCTCATCCCCTCTTTGCCCTCCCATCACCACCAGAAAAGAAGATAAAACTAAAATAAATCAAACCCAGAACAAAACGCAAGAGTAGTTCAGGACCAGCTAGTCATGCATTTGTTTTGGGGATAGGGGTTGTAATGGAATGTTATATGTGCGTTTTTTAGTAATGGAGTGGTAATGGTCACTAGCAGAGCAGATGGCAAAAACTGCATACAGGATAGTTTAAAATAAATAGTTCATGACCACAGAAAAATAGCTGACAACTGCAGACAAACTCTTCTTCATTATTTCCTCTAATTATGTGGCAAAATCCCTACAATTTTGTGAATTTTCAGCCAAATTTTCTGAAAGTGTCATCCCTTTAAGCGTAAGCCCAAATTCTTCCTGTCTAAATCCTGAAAGATCAGACCCTCCCAAACCATTCTTTCACCATTTAACCTGGCAGAAACTGCCATGGTATCTCATGTTTTTAGTAAAGAAGCAATCAGTGCATTTCTGTAGATCAGTCAACAAAATCATGTGGTAAAAAAAACAACAACAAAAAATTAAACAGTGCCATTGGCACAATTGCCTGCAAGAAGGAGTACAGTTTGTTATATTGCTTACAATGCAGTATTTTATCCAGCCTCTTCCAGCCAGGGACCTGTAAACCGGATTCTGTTCCAAAACCTTCCTCCTCTTCCAGTTGTCTGTGCAATGTATTGGCACTGTTCTGCTGGGCTGTCAAAAAAACTGGTTTAGAGATGCAGCTCTTCAGTCAGGTTTTGCTCCAGTTCTAACCATGTAAGTTTACTCTTGCTTTTCAACAATTAGAGATAAAGATGATGATCATACTTACAGAGAAAAGATTTACCATCATCAGTATCCCACATTACTGATTAGAACTGGGGACTAAATGAAATGAGTTGGGGGTCTCTGCCCAGTTACAAATGTGCAGCTGTCCATGTCATAATAACACCATCAAACCTGGAATTAGTTGGCTCTCTCAGCACAGAGATCAAGGACTCAATAGGCCACAGAGACTAACCCTTCTCAGAATTTCCTAGAGGTGAAAGTTCCAGAAGAGGGTTAAGGCACAATGGGGGAGAGAGGGGGGCGCTTGCCCTGTATTATACCTGATTAAGACTGCTGTCTCGAAGATTTTCAGTTGCCACCCTTCAGCAGCATTCCACTCTAAAAAAAGAAGAGTGCTGGAGATGGTGCAGCAACTTTAGCGGTAACTTAAAATGTTACAACACAGGAGATGTGGATCTGCAAGGGACAGAGGGACTGCTGCTCCCTGGGCTAGCTGAGGCTTCAGGTACAGCAGTGGTGATCTACTCTGCCTCCAAAAGTAGGGATAAGCATTGATGCTGCAGGAGGGCCTCCTAGCATCAGATGGAATTGCACTACAAGCACAGATTTCCCAACATGAGGCTGGTTTCAGGGAGTCAGAGGCCTAAAATAGGAGAACAGTATTAAAATATGCATAAATGGAGGATGAAAGAGTCCAAAGTTTGATGCAAAGGCCTTACCACAAAACGATTCTGAGATTCAGAAACTCTATATAAAGCTGCAGGTACATATGCACAGTGTAGGCAATGTTCCCTGAGACACTGCAGACTGAGAGTGCTACTTTGGAGATTTAATTTCATTTACTGATCTTTGTTCTAACACTTTATCAAATGTTTCTATAAAGAAAAAAAATGAAGCAAAGAGAAAGACACTGATAATGAATCTAATTTCTAAAATGAGGTGAACCTGAGTGAGAATACACTAAAAATAAATCATGCCATTGGGAAGTAGATGAGAATCTCTCCATCGCTTTCCTTTCACATAAGCTACCTTGAAAGAAACTTCTCCTAACATGAAAGGGTTTAAACATGTAATAAAGATTTGCTGTTTGGAAATTGCTTCCAGAAGTCAATAAAACACTTTCCAGAGAAATGCTACTGTACACACAGAGAGAGACAAAAATGAGAGAGAAAGAACAGAAACTAGAGCAAACAAGTGCTCCCTTACCGGCGAGCGGGTCTGAGGCTGTGTGTTCATTGTTTGAGGAGTTTGGGGGTACACCAATGTGGCTGGAGCTGCATTCTGCCCTGAGGGGTAAGGGGCCTGGCAGAGAACAGAGAAAAAATGTTAATATACCAAATAATTTATTCAGAGAGAAGTAAATTAAAGGCACCAAAATACACCGTCAGATGAACTGGTGATTACTGTTGAGACAACGTAGTTAAAATAGACAGATTCCTCTACTGTTGAGATGAAATGCCTATCAATTTATTTATATGGTGCACACAACACCACATAAATAACCTCAGCAGAGGAGACCATGATTAGGGCTAAGATTTTGTCATGGATATTTTTAGTAAAAGTCACGGACATGTCATGGGCAATAAAGAAAAATTCATGGGATATCCATGATAAAATGGGAAGGGGCTGGGCAGCTGCGGGGTGGTTGGGAGCTCCAGGGCCACCACCACCTGTGGGGGCTCAGAGCCCCAGGGTCCCTCTGCCCCCCATGGTGGTGGGGAGCTGCAGAGAGTCCCCCTGCCCCCTCCCCGCAGAGGGGAGCTGAAGAGATCTCCCCTGCCACCGCCACAGTGGCAAACTGTGGGGGTCCCCCTGCCCTTCCCCCCCACCATGGTGGCTGGGGGATCCCCCTGCCTCACCAAACCAGGCAGAGAGCTGTGGGGATCCTCCTCCCACAGCTGGGTAGCTGCAGGGATCCCCCTGCCACTGCTGTGGTCAGGGAGCTGCGGGGGTCTCCCTGCCCAGCCATGGCAGCCGGGGAGCTGAAATCACGGAGGTCTTTCTAAGTCCTGGATTCTATGACTTCCACAACCTCCATGGCAAAACTGTAGCCTTAATCATTATGAATAGTGTTTATCAATTTAAAAGCTCTGCATTGTTTGAATCCTCTGGTCCACGTGCTGATTTTAATACAATTCTCTATAAATTTCTGAGAAAACTTAGAATAACGATGTGCTGCTGACAAATGCTCCAAAATAAGACATGACAAAAAATTAAGTAGCATGCAACTAGTATAAGCTGCTGTCCTTATACAGTGTTCAGAACATATCAAAATGGCCTAAAAATAGGCATTATGGGGGCAGACCCTCTGCTGATATGAAGTTACACCAGCAGAGAATCTGCCGAATGGTATTTATTCCAAAAGTAACAGTAACTTGGAGTAGTACAGTTATGACAATCGTAGGTTTTTTACACTAGAAATTTCAGAACATTCTACTTAAAAACCTAAATTAAAAAAGCTTTATTTTATCATGTAATTTACTCTCCATCCCTCATTCCTTAATAGATGTATTATATTTTTAAGCCATTTAATGATGACACTGCCCAACTGCAGCACTACCAATGTTAGATAACACTGCTCTACAGCCAAAATGCTTCTGAAATAAATGTAGTCAAACTTTACTAATTCTGGGTCACTGAGAACGAAAATGATGCTTAAAATTGTTGATTGGCTCTAGTTTTCAAGATATGCTATTC